GGGGGAAAAAAAAAAAAAAAAGGTAAAGGTCAGTCCGGCACCTCTCTGCTAATGTCTGGGACTTCTTGTGAGGTGTTCAACAATAAACATTTGGATTTGAGATGGGCCAACATAAAGCTGTACTGAGCACTTACTTGCCAGAACCCATTCAGTTATCTCAAAACAACATCAGACATTCAAATGTGACAGGGGATGATCACACCACAGGAACTAGATGTGAGCAGGCTGGAGATAAGAGAATATGAACTTTATGGATTTTTCCACCTCCTCCTTTCCTACTCCCCACTCATCCATGATTAAGTCTGGTACTTTTCTCCCTGCATAATCTGATTCAGCTCACTAAAACAATGAAAAACTAACTCAGCAATAGAGTTCATAGTCTTCCATCTGTTTAGTGAATTAAATCAGTTCTTCAAGGGCTTACAAAGGTGACAGAGAGAAAAAGAGAAAGACTGTAAAGCTTGAAGCAGGGAGGGAAACGGGGGAAGCAGAAGTGCCTTTTTGGGTGGCACTAACTGGGTACATGGATTCAGACATGTTTCTTGTTACCTACTCTTTCTGACTCATTACAACACTAATGCCATTTTCCCCGAAGGCTGCTGCCCCTGAGATTGTGCAGGCCAGGAGATGGAAAATCTACTGAGACAGTACTCCTGATGTAAATAGTATTCACATTAGTTGAGGAGAGGAGTGGTTTGGAGTCAGTTTCTCTCTGATCTGGCATATTTTAGGCATTGGGCCTACAATGTTGAGTTAATGAACAGAAGACTGCTGGGTTGCAGCATATCCAGGGTCATCCTGGCTCTCTGCCCCTCTAGATGCAGAATTATAAGGTATCATTTGACTCTTTGGCAATTTAGCATATGGCTAAATTTAGCAATGGCAGGGCCATTATGGGGTGGCAGCTATGTAAAACAGCAAAGCCATTCTGTCCTGTTGCTTCAGGGCAGAAGAAATTTACAATTGATGCTCTGGATAGACCATGAGGAAAAGTGACTCAGTTCTCATCACTAGATCCCTCACTGCCCATGCATAACAAATCCTTTCATTCAACATATCTTGAACATTTAGTTGCTCTCAATTAGGAGCAGACATTCAGCCACAACCACCCCAGTGCAGGCCATGGAGATCCTGCTTCTTCACTGCTCTCAGTCCAGACATCTCCAAAAATGCAAAAGCAATGCAAAACGACCTCTATCCCAACTTGGGCATCATGTATAGCTGCTCTGTTCAGTATTGCAAAGGGAGGTCAGGTCATTGAGAGTGGCCGATGTTTGGGAGATCCAAGTCCATGCAATCTACAGGTATAAAGACTTTTGGGACACAGCTTGCGTTTTCATCAAGGCAGAGAATTTTAAGGAACATAACATAAGGAAAATCTTGTCCTCTTAACTGAGCAGTGCCTGCAGACAGTCTATGTCCCCCTTAATATAGCTAATCTATACATTCCCGTAGCAAGGGCAAAGGGGAACAGAAACCGTTGTGCTGCTTCCTGCCCAGATCTGCAGTGTGTGTTTGGTAAATGATGGACTGGAGTGGGGCTGGAGATGCAGCTCTCTTAACTAAAAGCTCACCTTTCAGCTTTTCACCTTTCAGCTGTTTCTATGGCTGCCACCCATGGCTCCTTGAGTGGTTTTGTTCCAGTGCCTCAAAGCTCTGCATAATCCTTGCTCAGAGTTCTTCCAGCCATGCCAGTGACACTACTCAGATTAATAAAAATATTCAAGAAGGTTTATATGTCTGCACCTCAGTGATTGTCTTCCTTTTCTTCCCAGATGTACTGTGAGGTTACACCAAGGCTACTGGTTTCTATGTCCCAGAGCTAAGAAAAAGTATCTGAGAAAACTGAAACCAAGCAGATTAGTACTTGAACACAGTAAATTACTTGCTTTCCTAATTCTTCCAGGAAGAATTCTATGAGAAATTTCAGAGTAACTGCAGTTGGGAAAGAGGTCTCTGATTTCCCCATGTATCCCCATCAGCACTCACCTCAGATTAGCTTTCCTTCTTATGGTCTGTCAGCAGCCTTGAGATCAAGGAGATTAAAACACTGTGGAAACTCATGAATGAGCCAGGACTCTCTGCAACAGCTGGACCAAAAATGGACTGCATTTGGCTGCATCTTAATTCTCTGCCATCTCCCCTCTGCTCATCAACACCTGCACACATTTGGGATGCTGTATAAGACCCCTGAATTCAGCTCTAAGCAACCAGTCTGCAATGCACATGTCTAATGCTCTGCTGGTGTGGAACCAGTATGCTGGTAATCCTGTTAGTAATGGCAGAAGCTCCCTCTAGGAAATTATCACAAACAGTCTTAAACAATTCCTTTTGTTGACAACTCTATCCAAGAAACCATCTTCCCTGGAGACTTCACTCAACTTTTGACTAATCCCCTCCTTCCCTCAGGAGCTCTTTTGTTGAAGGAGATTGCAGGCATACCCCAGGAATGACAGGTCTCTGTAAGCCTTGGATGAGCCTCTACGTTCTTTCAATTGTCAGTCCCCATCTGTCCTGTTTGTACATCGATCTTCTGGTCCAGGGAGCTCTCTATTAAGTGACACATGGCTGAGTACATTCTGCAAGTCCACTGTCCAGACTGTGCTGTTACCTCTTCGTTGCCAAGTCAATCCTTCTGACATTGCTTTCTGAAAAACAAAAGGCAGGACATCTGCACAATTTCATTCCCTTCTACTGAAAGGTGACTTCTGAAAAACACACACCCCACCCCTCAAACTGTGTCCTTGTTTTATAATCTCAAAGACTTTTCTTCATTTTGTCAATATAAGGAGTTATTTCAAAGGTCTTTGGTGTAAGGGAGGGTACAATCTGCCCCTGTTGCAGAGGAACACTATGAGGGGAAAAATCCATGGCCTAAGTCCTGAATCAAAAAGAAAAATAAATCCCAATTACAAATATTCTGCAGGGCTAGTGCCTTCAGTTATTCTGCTTGTCAACAGTTGGTTTAAAACAGGCTTTTCTCTTCCTGTAGATTCAACTACACTTAGCTGGTACAGTATCACACACATGTAGGAGGCGCAGCATTATATATCTGAATATTTATTTTGAGAGGGAGAATGAGAACAGTAGCAGATTCCAATGACCCATATGTTCCTCCTCAGCAGGTAGAGGGAAAGTGGTAGGTGGAATAGGGCAGAAAACGGGTGGTGTTGGCATGCAGTATATATCACCCTGGGATAGACAACTGACAGTATCTCATCTTTTCCTGAAACCAGAAGGAGAACAAGGAGGAGTCTGTGATGATGTTTTGTCCCTTGTTGTGTTGCTCAGGGCCCATGGATTCAAGAAGGAGCCTAGTATGTTTAGTTTTTTTGGTTTTGTCTATTTTTGTAACTTAGGTTGGTAAAGGAAGGAAGGCTGGCCAATTTCATTATGTTCCCAGGAAATTCCATTCTCTCATGTGCCAACGTGAGGCTGTTGTGCTTTAGATGCCTATCTGCCTCTCATTAGATTTGAAAAAGCATACAGAAGCCCCTGCTTTCCATTGCTAGCCTATTAAAATGACAGAAAAAATTACTGTAACCTTGCTTGCATGCCTGAATCCAGATACCTTTTTTAAAAAGAGAATTAATAATATGAACACCATCACATATAGAATGTTTTCCTGCAATGAACTGCAGAAGAAAACTTGAGTTGACATTTAAGCTTGTCTAGCATGCTTTGTAAGCAGCTAAAAAAAAGAGACACAATCATTTTCAGGACAGGTTAATATATAACAAAAAATGTTAAGAGTTTCTCCTACTATTGCATGCTTTCACTATTTTAAATTATATATTTGTGAAATGCTCTCTAAATCGTTTAAAATGGGCCAAATCCAAGTTCATAGAACATTGATGCATGAGTGCCCTCCTCAAGTGAGTTGCCCCAGAAGCCTTAGTGGAACTGGCAGCCAGCTTTTCTGGCAGGATTAGTTCCTCTCTGATCACAGAGAGGGAAAAGCCATCCTGTCTGCACTCAGTGGAGCAGGTGAGCAGGGAAGGCATTCAAGCTGCTTCCAAAACACAATCTGGTCACAGCACTGGCAGTGTCAGGTCTTTCTTCAAAGGATTCCAGGCTGGCCCCTCTGCCTGCTGTTGTCTACACGGTGTGGGCAGAAGGGGTAGAGAGGCTGTGAGACCAGGCACTGTGTGCTGGGACCTGATCCTATAGCAGGTACAGCATCCACATGCATTTGAAAGCACAGATGGGTAGCTGAGGTGTGTCCTGCTGTCCTAAGGCTGCCTCTTAGCTTGGCAGACAATAACACAGTCAAACTAATTTGGCCTCAAAATCAGTTTCCAGGTCTGCCCTGCAAGCACACACCCAGCAGCAGCACTGACAGGACACATGCTGCTAACAAATGCACAAAGTAAATAAAGAGACAGAATATAATGAAAGGATATTTTCTGGTAATTTCTTTTAATAACAGTGATTTTAAGTGACCTTTTGGTCTTCTGTAACAAAAAGATGAAAAATATTGATGCTGAAGCATAATTTTGAAACCTGACATTAAAATAGTGATTAATTAAAACCAAAGATATTGCAAGATAAGGAGATTTTGCCTAGCTCTGCTCAGGTTCTAATGAGTGTGAAATCAAAACAAGTAAGGTATGAAATGTGAACTCAGTAGGCAGGGACAAAGGAGAACAAAGCAATTTGGTCAGTTTAAGCAATGGGGAAATGAAGCAATACTTTGACTGCAGAGGCATTGGAGGAAAGGGCACTGGTCTGAGACTTGGCAATATGACAAAACAAATCCAAACCTCCCGTGATACCACTGAACACTGTCCATTGGGGCCCATTGGCTTGCTGATCTCTTCTCTCTGGATATGAGATTTCCCACTTCGTTCTCACCCTGGATGTGATCGTTGAGCCCTGAGTATCAAATCTGTTTTCCCGCCTTCAATACACGAAGGAATTCATGTCCTAAGGGTGATGGCAGCAGCTTTGACAATGGCAACTACATGCTTACCCAGCAATTATTCAGTCATCCATGGTTTCTACCAAAACTTGCTCAAACCTCCTGAGACACGGCCTTTTCCATAAGAAGCAAACAGGTCACAGATTTCAGGTTGCAGTCTCACCCCTGGAACTGTGAGCACTGATTGTCCTGTGGAAAAATCAGGTTAAAGAGAAAGCTGCAAAAGGGTCCTTTTCCTTCATTGTGCTGCTTTCTTAATGCTCTCCTGTGAAATTAGCTGCAATATAAATGAATTCAAGATCCCATTTCTTACAGCTGCATTCCTTCTGATTGTTTTTGGAAAATTATTTCTTTAATCTAGACACTCTTCTCTAGAAATCTCATTTGCAGTTTCTTTTCTTTTTTCTTTTTCTTTTTCTTGGAGCAACCAGCAAAATACTATTTGGTAGAACAGTGGTAGGAAGGCAACCCACTAATCAAAAGGATTCAAATGGATCTGCGCACTGCCAAGCTCTCTCCTTCCCACCCAGCAGAGGGGAAAAAAAGAAAAAGAAAAAAGAGATAGAGCGAAGGCACAGAGCTTCTCTCCTTCAGCAATCTCACAAATGCAAAACCTTCCACTCCAGTGACTCCTCATTAACTTACCAAATCTGACAGTCTAATTATCGTAGCTGCTTCACGCTTAGAATAAATAAATACTAAAGTGGGTGTTTAAAGAAATTGAGCAGTGAAATTCAGTCATCTAGACAGTCAATAGAGAGTTTATTTTAAATTTTTATATTCTTATGTATTTATATCATTTTAGGAAAGATAATGAGATAGTTGTCTTTCAGGCTAATTGAGTTCCTATGCTCATGGTTGCTTGCTGTCACAATCTCAAACTTAGCTTTAACTTTTGTGCCTTAGAAATCTGATCACTACCTCCCTATTTACTCTTTTCTGCTGATAACTGGGTGAAATCACAAGTGCACCTGAGGATGGGAAATGACTATGTGAGACTTCCAGTCTGGATGTCTTTTCACAGCAAACAAGACAACTAAATCTTTTCAGATTTGCATTTAAGAGTGTTAAAGGGAAAATGGAAGTTAAAGAAACCTCAGCTATAACTTGCAATTAGACAAAACACAGAAAAACATCTGCTAACCTCTGATGCAATAGTGTCTGCCTCCACGAACGGTATTAACAGCACTCCCCCCAAGAGTGGTTTGTCTCCCTGAACAATAAGACCTTTATAGAGATTCTCTGGCCTGAGATCAATGGGAGTCAGAGCATTTGATCCATGTCTGTAGGACTTTGTTTCCACAAGTCATGTGGGCCAAACTTTGCGCCAGTTGCTTTTGCAAGAGCAGGAGCTGGGGAGTGAGCAAAGGAAATTTTCCTTTTCCCATCTTCCCCTTTGCCCCGTGCTCCTAAACAGTGCCCAGCACAATGGCTGCCCCAGGACAGCATGCAGGGAAAAGCTTCAACAGGGCAACATGTCCAGGGCCCTGTGCACTTGGCAAGCATCTGCTGTGATGTTGCAACAGCTCTTTCCTAGGGTGGTGGCTTAATGACACAATACAAAACTTTCATGTCCTGTCAGTATGAAGGCAAGCACATCTTCCACTGTGGGGATCACACCAGGTGAAGAGGGGTGGTTTCCTGAGTTAAGTGAAGATTTGTTTTATCACCTCACAGATAAGAATGCTTCTGGCTTAGGGAGGGGCAGCTGATTTCCTGCTCATCACCAGCTTTAGTTTATTCCCGTATTAAGACACATTATAAACCAGACTCATACACCTGGTAGGAACTTTCTAGGTGTCTGTATCTGACTTACAGTGAAGGATATCTGTTTGCTGTGAACAGAGGTCACAAAGCAAAGTGGTAAAAAAAATCAAGTATGAACTGTATGAACCTTTTAGCTATGTAGGAGAAGCGAGGGAAACCGGCCAAGCCAAACAAGGGATGATGAAAGCCAGCTCTTCTTTATATGTCCCCTGCGATAACATTTCCCAGTGCTGGCTAATCCCAACAGGAATGGGATTTTTAGTAGGCAATGGCTTGCAGCCTTAACCTCCTCATTGCCCACACTTACTGACTTGCTTTGTGTTAGTTTAGATGCAACAGACATTAAAATGACTGTCAACATCAAGCCTCCCTCCTCCTCCTCCTTGTCCCTGAAAGGGAGAAATGGTATAGTGTCTTCATCACCTGGTGCACTGATTTTGTGTTGCTGGGGGAGATAACAATTAGAGACCATTTGTACCCAAAAGAGCAAGTACCTCCTAGTCAAACTGAGATCCCATCCATGCAACACATAATCCTGATGGAACATGTACTGGAATTTACTGACTGCTGTGCTGAGGGTACAGCCAGGGTTGAACATCTCCTACACTGAGAGAAAGGTCTCTCCTGAGACTGGGCATTGGTCTGGTGGGGAAAGGATCTGAGCTGCCAGCTCAGGCCTCCCTTGCCCCTGTGTCTGTGAGGTTTGGCCAGAGCTCTTCTTGCAGTGTGTTTTCTTGGGAGTGCATTGTTGATAACCCCAAATCCCACCGCTTCCCTTCCCTTCTGCTCTAAAGCATTGGAGGGGAAAAGAGAGGGAAAATAAACCAAATCTATAACTAAGAATAATAAGCTGCAATTGTTACTGTGTCTGACCTGTCTGACAACAGAGTGAGATACCTCCTCAGAAGGCCCTTTTGCACTTCAGGACTGACACTGAGTTGAGAGCACAGCTCGTGCTTTCTTGATTCAAGGATCTCATCTTTCTTCCAGGAGGGATTAATTGGACAGAAAACATTCTGCTTTAGCAGGTGGCAAAGGGTTAGAATGAAGTTTCATCAGAGCTGCTGCAATGCAGGGCTGCACTGCACAAAGATAATTGTCTCAGGATTGGCTCTGGCCAGAAAAAGGACAGCAAATGCTCCGGTTTTACAAAGGTCATCACTGCCACCCCTTAGGCTACTAGCCTAAAGGAAAGGAAGCTGAAGAAACCCCTGCACCTCTCTCTGTTTCTATATGCAGAGGTGCTGGTGGCACATGTAGAATTAAGGCCACCGAGATGATGAGCAAGGTTTGAACCTGGACCTCAGGAATCCCCTCCTGGAGCTACAGGCACAGGAATGAGCAACTGTAGGAGAGGCCCATCTGTGGGCCAGTCCCACTCAGAGGACAGAGAACCTTCTTCTTCCCTTAGAGCACAGGCTACTCTTTTTTCCCAGCACTTTGTGCTCAGATGAGCATAGCAACAGCAACCTGTTCCACTCTGTAGGAAGCAAAGAGCCCTGTGCTCCCTCTCCCCCTTCCCAGGGGCAGCAGGCAGCCTCTAACCATTAACATTCCCCCTAGGAATCAGAAACATGTTATTTGGAGGGGTGCTTAACTTCGAAACAGTGATTTCTCCAATTATTTTTTCCCAGGAGCTGACCTTTGAAAAACATCCTTCAGCTTCCAGCTTGTCATAACAACTTATAAAAAGGACAGTTATGGATACAATTATTTCATAAAAACAGAGAATAATTTTTTCAGAGAACCTTTTATTTTTTCAAATCTTGTTTCCCTCTTACTCTCTTACGCACCTTGGGATTAAACCCCTCTTCTTTCACCTTTCATCTCCAGATCACATTCTGTCCTTCTGCTTTAACTTTCCCTTTCAGAGGATGGCAACTAATAGCCAGCATCCTCTAGAACAAAGTGGGAACAGAATATATTTAAAATCTGCACTGTTATCATAGCAACAAGAATTTTAAAATGATACAGTTAAATTCCAAAAGAGTGTTATGCCAAAGTGACACAAGAGAGCAAATGTCTTAAACAATTATGGCAATAGGAATGGCTACATGGGGAATTATTCAGAATAGCCTAAATTTTACAGGCTTAATGAGTCACTCATGAATATGGTCTTGCATGATCGTACTGTACTTGTTTCTGCCCTGTGCACTTTGATTCTGTTCTCAGCACGTTGGTTGCTATGATAACACCATGCAGTTTCCTGTCCACACGACACTTCTTGCTGCAATATGGGGGATAATAAATATGGGATGGTGCCTAAACCCAGGTGAAAGGAATCTGTCCCCTCACTGGCGGCATATCGGAGAGACTGACACATTATGCCAATCTGTTTTCTCATTCCTTCTCTTTCTCCTCACTCTCTCCCTTTCTCTTACACTGTCTCTGTACCTGTTTTTTTCCTCTCTCTCTCTCTCTCTCTCTCTCTCTCTCTCTCTCTCTCAGCACTGACACTTTCATCTTCTCCCTTGGGGATTGGAGATGTCACTGCGGGAAGTGCTTGTCCGCCTCTCTGGCAGCAGCAGAGCCCTGTGGCTTTGACAAACCTCATTTAATTGGGAGGAAGCCAGGAGGGTTTGAAAGAACTGAAACATCCACGAAACTCCTTTTATCAGGCATAATTTAAACTCTGCATGGAAAAAACCCTATATGTATAAAGAAAAGTCAACTTCCCTCCTGCTGTGCGTGCTCCCCTCCTCCCCCCCCAGCACAGGCAGGCTCCTGCGAGATTCCATCTTTTCATTTTTCTGAAAGTGTCAAAGTAGATTTGTGCTCTGTGGCTGGGTGAACAGAAAAGGAATGCAGATGTCTCTCACTCAAGCACATACACACACAGAGCACCTTCTGAAGGGCAGCAGTTTGGGGGATTGGGAGAGATGCTAACTGGCTGCTTCGCCACTTGGGATGCGTCGCGGGAGCCAGAAATTTGGTTTTCCAATAGCTTGACAACACGGTCCATGAAGACTTTTTCTTAATTGCCCCTATCTTAAAAAACACCACCAAAGTAACTAGTGTACGGGGTGCCCAGGAGGCAACAGGGAATGCAAGATCCCTTTGGCCTGCAGCCCAGTAGGAGGGAGCTTTCCCTAGTGAGGAGCAGAACTGCAGCTTGGCAGACCCTGCATTTTTTGTCAGCTCAGGCCAGGAGAGGCACAACTGTGTTTGCAGCTGTGTGCTTAAGAGAAGGGAGCAAGGTAAAACTGAGGGAGAACTGGTGTGACAGGCTACAAGGAACAGCTGTCTCAACATCAAAAGGGAGTGGGAGGAGCAGTCCAAGGGAATTGGGGCTAGCACACCATGCTGAGCAGATGGGAATTCAGGACATCAGGAGGGAGCAGCGGGTGAGTTACACCGAATGCACAGTGTGAGCTGGGGAAACATCCAGGCCCTTGGGGTTACAGAATGGGGGAGAGATGACCTGTCAAAGCATATACACCTCTGCTTTGCAGAGGGCCATGGTAGCAGCCCATCAAGGGCTAGTAGTATTAACACAGTGGTCAAGTAGAAGAAAACAGAAAAACAAGTTGTCAAATCTGGCACAGGATGTAAACTTTGCAGCTTATAGGAGTGGGGAGGGAGTGCAGGCAGAAAAGAGAGACATCCAGGTGAATGGCAGAGACTTTCAAAATAGAGAGGCAACTCACAGTAAATAGTACGTGCAGCAGCTCTTTCTTGGTGAGATGGAATAGAGAGTTAACTCACCAGCAGGGACCTGGTAGAGCTGAGGAGGCAGAGGGCTGAAGAAGCTATGAAGAAGCGCATCTTGTGCAGAGATTCGGCCTCGAGGGAAGGCTGTGAGCATCCTGGAGGCCAAATTCTCTGCTGCTGGCACCCTGCTCATCCTAGGGAAACAGAAGAAAAAATAGCACAGGAGATGATGATGAGCCAGAAAGCTGGAACCAGAACATGACCCAGCCCTTCTCAGCTTGAGGCAAAGATAGTGGAGGGACACAGGGGAGCTGGATAAACCCACCCCAGCTACACAGCTTTGCAGGACATTTGCTTTTCCATCTGAGTTTGACTATGTTGGGGCATATGCATCAAACTTATGTTTACAGACAAATTTTGAAAACCTATTTCTGTTTTTTAAAAAGAAGGTTGTAAGTGAAAGGGGAAATGATGCTGAGGAGACTCTATTTTACATGTTGTAACTGTAATATCAGAGTTTAGTGGTATCAGTTTACAGTGACAATCCAAATGTAAAAAATAATGTGACTGGCCCAATGAGAAGACTAGAGGTCAAACCTAATAAACCTAAAGAAAATACCATTTCCTCTTCTCCTACCCCAGTACCAGTAGTGCAGCTGGTTGTAAATTGTGTTGGGGATTCACAGAGAAGAATCTGTTTCTCAGGATGAGTGCTTCAAATAAATGTAATACACATATGCTCCATGCCCAGCAAACACCAATGCCAAGTGGCTGCTCCCTAGAGGAGCACACAGCTGGGGACACGGAAGTGGAAGAGCAAAAACAAACCAACAAGGAAACAAATAAAAATAGTCATTTAGTTTTACAGCTTTTGCTTTGTTTGTTTGTTCTGATCACATTTCAGCTTCAGAGCATGGCCTGTTGTGCTTCTTCCCTTGCCCCCAGCGGTGCTTCCCCTCCAAGTGACATCAGGACCTGGGATCCCCCTGCTCCTGCACTCACCCTCCCTATACAGGACATTTGACATGCTGACATTTTTGTTTTGAGGAGATAAAATGTAAAATATAAAAGAAGAGGAAAAAACACCAAGACAGAAGGAGAAAAAGAGACCCTGAACAACAAATTTGTAGAAGGTATCTGGCCTCACTGTGGTAGATAATTGCTGAATTTTCACCTCCAGAAAAACAGCTCAAGTTCCCCTTCCTTGGGGACCAGGGATGGGACAGGGAGCCAAAGCATCCTGTCTGAGGCCTCTTGCTAGAGCTGCATGACAGGCTGCCCTTGCCATGGCAGGTTCTTGCTGGAGACCTTCTGCCCCGTCCACTCTGGGCAGCAGCACAGTTCTGTGCCTCCCACCATGGCTCAGGCTTCCTGGTGGTGGCCAAGCACTGTGGAGAGCTCCCTTTTGATTTCTTAATTGTCCATGGGGAGTCATGGCTGAGCAGTCTGTATGAAGCAGCTCTTTCCTTCTCCCAAGCTGAGCATTCCAAGGCAGTTCTTTGGCCATGGCAGCACCAGGACTCTAAGGCAGAGCTGGAGCTGGCCCACATACAGCCCAGAGCTCTGCCATGGAGGTGCTAGGCCAGCCCCTTGGTTTGACCTGAAATGGGGTCTGTCAAAGGATTATGGCCAAAATGCAGAAGTGCAGTATAGCACAGTCACAAGGAATATGCTTATTTCTTTGTTCAGGCTGAGAGAGGATTTGTTCTGTTCCAGGACCTGCATTATAAGGGTTTGGGACATATTGAGCCTTCTGTGTTTCTCAAGCTGTGCGTGACAATGGCTGGCATTTCAGTAACCTGTGCTTTGCTGAAAACTATAGCATGTTTGTTCAGCCATTTAGAACAGCATCTGGGAAATCCTGCTCTAAAGAGCAGCACATGTCCCCCCTAGCAGGGCTGGATCCCAAGCAATCAACTGAACAGATAATAAACAGCAATGAAAAATGTGTTTATGTCCTCAAAGGATATTTGATTATTGGCATCTTCATGTACACAATCTTGATGACAAATCCTGTCTCGTCTTTTCCTACCTATCTATAAAACCTGCTGTGTGCCTCAAAATCATTTTAGGGGGATTTGATTTGAATGACTCCCTCAGCTAGGTTAGGGCACTTTGTATGATTATAAATTTCTTTCACTGATACATATATATCCATTGTGTGTGTGTGTGTGTGTGTGTCTCTCTCTCTCTATGTGCCTGAAAAAACACTCCCTTCCCTCAGCACACTAGGGAGTGATTCAGCAGTGCTGGTGTGTCTGGTCAAGCTGTGTGTGTAACCATGGCCTTCATCTCATAGCTTTGGCCACTAAGAATGTGATTTTTCCCCTCCTAGCTAATCACAAGATTATTTCATTGTCTCATGAAAATGCTGTCCTAGCACGTCTTCCTTACTGCTGTTGAGCAACATTCCTACAGTCTGTTTTCAAAAATGAAAATTGGGACAGTGTGAAGTCTGTCCTCAGTCTGGGCAAGAGGGCCTGGGAAAGTATGACCTTCTCAATTGAACTGTGCCCCACAGAAAGCTGCACACAAAGTCACTGAATCACTGCTTATCTCAGAATAATCACTACTCCTCTGAGAATAATAAACCCACTATGTGTCTACCTTTGCTGCGATCTCTCAAAATCAGTTGCTTAACTGATGTTAGATCTGCTTGTTACTACAGAGCCACCCTGCTCTTCCTGAGCTTGCCAAAAGAGCTCATTTCAAGTTAAATGATTGCACAAAGAAACAAACAAACCCAGAGGCAATTTTGACATTGCTGTTATAGGTAGCTTACCTGTCACAGATGACTCGGAGGCTCTGAGGTCTCCTGGAAGCAACCAGTTCTAGAAAGTGTAATATGCAATCACAAGATTAAATGAAAATCAAGCCAAAACCCATTCTCTGAGCTCCTACAAAAAATGTGCTCAGAATTTCAAAGGGCCCTATAGAATCTATCATCTTATTATTTATAAATATACATTATTCCTATAGGACTTGAGTACCTGCATTGATCTTAATAACGCTGTTCCAGTTCTGTAACACTTTCATATATCTGTGAGTATAGGCCTTGGACCTTCTCCTGTTACAGTGTGAGTCTTAGCTTTGACATCAATAAAAGCAGTATCAGTCCCTAAAGCCTTCACACAAAGGAAGCAAAAAGAAGTTTGCAGGCCTGAATCCCCAGTCAATTGTCTTGACTTTCCAAGGGGCTGCTGAGCTTCACATATTGCCCCCATGGGTACATGGGGCTTTTCTACATGGATGCAGCAGTAACACTGGGGATGGAGACAAAGCACTCTCTTCTTGCCCACAGCCCTCACTGAGTTTGTTGTTTGTCCAGTTAACCATGCTCATGGAGGCTTTCTACTCACTGATTATTGTGATCTCTATCAGACTGGAACTTAGCAGAGTTTGCAGTTTTGTGGAGTCTGTGTTCTTGATATTTTTCAAAGACATATTTCTAAACATTGTGGTAAATATAGAGGAATACATTCCTCAAATGCTTTATTGTAAAGCGTGAATTTTCTCAGGCTTAGATACGAATGAATGGCTTAAGCCTGGAAAATTTCCCCGTGGAGTTGATGAACAGAGAGATTTTTTTTGCAATCAGAAAGGCTGCAATTTCTACCCACCTACATTTTCCTGAGCACTGTTTCTGACAGCAGAGAATGAACAGTGGCACTCTAGTCATGGGAGGGAGAGCAGGAAGGGTGGTGTCCACCTCTCTTCCAGCTCAGCCTGGACAAGCATTCCCCACAGCAGGGAGACCACCAGGAGGCAAGCACCATTGGTCTGCTGCCAGCAGACTCAGAGCTTGGCTGGGGTTAATGCTGCACCCTTCCAGAGCATCTGCCCTCCCTGGCTGCCTGGAAGCAGCAGGCACTTCATTCAGGGACAGGAGCTGCCTGCTGCACTCCAGGTGGGAGTCCCCTCTGCTTTTGCCTGCACGGCCATTTCCAGAGTGCCAGAGCCAGCCTCTGACTTGATGCGCAGACAACTTGAAAAAGTGCAAATGACTGAACTTCCAGCCCTTGACCTTTCCAGCAGCAATCTTGCACCATTAAACCAGGCAAGCAGGTTGTTAAACCTCTCACAGGGTAAGTAACAGTTCAGAATTGAATTGTTCTCCTACACCCAAATACTAAGGTAATTTCTAGAGCAGTAAATGGGAATATAACTTAGAATGAGATTAATGGCTGTTTATGTGTCAGAGCACTGGCATATCACCAATATGGAAGTTATATATTAGCATCTTGAATACTCCCTTCCCAAATAAGTCACCAAGACTGGCAGAACACTGCTCTTGGATCACTAGTAACATTTTCACTAATCACCTTTCCTTTCCTTTTCCTTTCCTTTTTTTTTTTGCCCCCTAGACTGTAACAATAGTGTAAAAATAAGTTACCAATGTAAAGTTTCCAGATAGAATAGAAGAAAAACAATTTTTAAAATGGTTTGGAAAGGCAAAAAATTTTTCTGTATGAGGTAGAAATTTTTGGCTCTTCATAGAGCTGGCCAAAAACTTTCAGGTGTGGTAACTTTCTGTCAGAAAAATTTGATTTGTGAGATGAAAACATTTTATGACAATATATCAATTTCATTAAATATTAGTAAAAATGACAAGTTTATTTAAGTACTGTACTGAAATATTTTAACATTAATATTCTTTAATGAGTTTAACACGGAACTTTAAAAAAGCATGTTGAGTTGGTAACAGCAGGGCAAAACGTTTCAATGATATCTTAGTGAAATGTTACTTTGTTTTTGCAGAGTGTATTTTCAGGATTAACATTCCAAAAAGGAAATAAGATTTTCTTTACATTAGAAATAGAAATATCAGCTTGCTTACTGGGAAGTGGGAGGAATACCTGAATTATAGAGTTTGCTGTCTTGAGCAAGCCTCTTGACTTAAATTTATCTTTTATGTAACCTGGAGATTAATAATTATCTGTAAGGGGTACCAGCAAGCCAACTACTCCTGTCCCTGTCCAAACACATCTCTCAGTGAAGAATTCAGCTTGAGTGAGGACTGCCAAATTTGCCACTTTGAGCATACAGAGCTTTGATTATAAATGGAAGATACGGGTAAGAAAACAGTGTGTCTCTGCTCAAGGACTTAATGCAGTTAACTAATGCAGTTTAAATCAGTTCAGATTAATCTCCTGACTGACCCCTTATAGACAAATCCTTAGAGAATGCCGAGGCCCCATTGTGTTGAGCAGGGTAAAAACAGAGCAGTAAATATTTTCCCTACTGTAAGGTTAAGAGCAATCTAAAATTGTAAAACACTGTAAACACCTACTCCATAAAGGTAAGAGACAAAGAATATTAAGATCACTTAAAAAAGTGGATGAACTACTGATTTAATCATCTCACAATGATGATGTAGACATAAAATGATGGAATTGTGTAGGGCTGATTGGCTTTTTTAACAGTTTGAGTAGATCTGAAAGGTAGCACGGTAGGTTTGTTATTTTCTATCCTTATGCAAGGTAGAGTGTGCTAATGAGGAAATACCTTCCTATTTGAAAACCCAGGTGGAAGTGGCTAATGAACTGATAATGAGGCAAGCAAGCCAGAGGACAAAAGTTAAACTTTCCTAATTGATGAAGAGAGAGAAAAGGGATGCCAAGTGCTGCTGGATGAAGGCAGTGGGGTTGCAGGCTCACAGAGAAAATTTCTCTCATTAGTGAAATCTCTGTGGCTTCAGGACAGGAGCAGAGCTCTGTCTGTGTGGCAGGCTGGAAACTGCAGGCTGTGCCCATTGCCACACAGATGGGAAGTTTCCCTACACCCTGGCTAGCATACATTGCACATTAGTTACAGTGCTGCTCTTCCCGTTGAGATCAAAGCCACATGCAGTTTATTATGACAATAAAAATTTTATCGTTTTAGAATTCAGTTTACTACCATCCCATGTGTTAAATGAAACATCAACATAAAAAGTGAGATTACAAAAAAACCCCAAAGCACTCGGAATGCCGACTTCATCTGCATTTTCACAAATGTCATGGGAAGTTTGCATTTCAGGGCGTGCTGCTTGTTGCCTCCATCTGCTGGTGACATTTTGGAAACGCAGCAGATACTGAAAACATAGCTGGGAGCACAAGTTGACTCTGGAAAGCTTCTAAATCTCATTCAGCATACCAAAGCCGGCAGATAAATGAAAAGCTAGGTTTTATTTGAAAGTCATTGATGCATCTGAAAAGGCCTTGTGTGAAACCTGCATCACCTCTGTGAGTAGATATTACCAGGCACGGGCAAGTTCATCATTCAGCCTGTGCAATAAATCAAGGAGTAAAGCTCACTCTCAGTTCATCATGTTAAAGATAGGTATGCACTGCACCCCACTCTTTGGAATCCAAATTGCAGAAAAAGGAAATAAAAACTAACTTGGTGCATTGGGTGCTCCAGCATTCCCAGTTTGGCAAAAGCACTAGCTTAATGTCATGGGCTGTGATTCCTAATCCTTTCCTGCCCTTGACCCCTGCTGTCTAGATTCAAACTTGTAACCATTAATGGGGCTGGATCAAAACACTGGCCTTCTGGTGTCACCAATGGTGTTTAGAGGGGATTTAAACTCACTGCTTTTCAGCGCAGTGAAATGAACACAGCAGTAGATTAATGCAAGGATTTGAGCTCACTCAGCATGAGAGCTTTCAAAAATAGTGTTAACAGAGCTGCAACTGCCTCTTTCAGGGGAAGCAAAATGAGGGAACAGAACAAATGAACAAACACAGGGCAAAGCCTTGTCACTATGGGTAGGGCTGGTAAGCCCGGGGAGCCAGGGAAAAAGCCAGTGCCTGTGCTGAGATGTGGGGCAGGAGCTCTCCCAGTCCTTCCTGTTCTCCAGGGAATGGCTCTCCAACCTGCTTGCAGGCCCTATGACTGCACATAATTCCCTACCCCAAGTGTCCCTCCTGCAGAGAGAAGGTGACATCACAAGCTGTAGGGCTGGCCACAAACAGGTTACTCACCCATCCTTCCCATTCAACTGGAGTCAGGTTGAGGCTTTGGCAAACTGTAGGGAATGGGCATGAGGCTGTTCTTGAACGTTGTGTAAGACACCAGGGCACAGGGTAGTCAAAAACGCCTTTGCACTTTTCATCCCTTGCCAGCTGCCCATAGAGGAGGCAGAGGAGCTGCTTTTCCTCCAGCTGCCCTGTGTGCGCCTGACTCACAGACCCCAGAGCCCATGCTGCATCCTTTCCAGACTGCAGCAGGATGTGCTCAAGCCCACAGCAGTGACAGGAAAACATCTAAAGGTTTCCAGCTTTCATTTCAAAGATTCCTACTAACCCACCTGGCCCAGGAACCCTTCCAGTAACAGTCTCAGTCTGGGGCTGAGCCTACACTGCTGAATCCAGTGGGAGTTTTGCCATCAACTTCAATGAGAATAGGATCACACCTCAGTGCTTTGTTTTGCCCGTGTTCATTCCTTGCCGCGGGCAGGAACCTGTTTGTTTGTTTGCTGCCTGTGCTCAGTGTGAACATCAATAGGACTAGCTAAAAGAATTCAAACCATCAGATTTGGGGAAGAGCTCCAAAGTTTGTTTGCTTATCTGAACCAACCGAGGCACCCAGATTTGCACAAATGGTCTGGGAAAAACCTCAGGAGAGAAGGTTTTCTCAGGCTGACTCCACAGACTGTATTGGGGCTGAGCATGTCCTGGGGGGGGAAACAGAATTTGTGCTTCAGGGAAGAGAGAGGAAGTGCCCAGAAACATATAAATGGCATTTAACTTTAAACAAAGAGACCAATTGTCTTTTTACCAGCAGTCTCATCAAAATGTGAATTGATTTAGTTCATGAGTAGGGCAAATAGTCCAACTCCAGACTAGCCTTCTTCCAGACTGGCTTGTGTAATCCAGGTGTGAGCCAAGTGCTTGGTTCCTGTATGTGGCTGGAACAGTTCACAGCCCCTTAGGCTCTCAAGAGGGAAAAGGGATATTGCCTCTCCAGCTAACACTGCTATTGCCCCAAACACTGACAGAGCGTCTTCCATGTGTTTGCCAGCTCGGTGGGGTGCTCCAACAGAAGTGTCCTCTGAGTCCTGCATTTCTGCCTGGTCCAGCCACAAAGGCACCAGCATTCCAGTATCACAGCACAGCACAGGTCAATTCTGCCCCTCTGGAGTCCTCTAGGGAAACTTTCTATCAAGTCTGAAAGCAAGTCAGGCTTGAAAACTGCTTATGATGTCTCAGCTTCAGTGGGGTTGTTGCCCTGCTGTCCAGGTGCCCGTCCTCTCCTTCCCAGCCCTGCCACTGGCACCCTCCAGAGCAGCAGAGGACAGCACTGCTACTCAGACAAAACAGAGCTGAGGGAATCACTGCTCAGAGCAGTTCTAGGCACTCACATTCTCTGTTGTCTGTGCAAGTTTCTTTGCTAACATAGCCTTAATGCTTGCATTTCTAGGTTGTGCCTCTACTCAGCACCAGGATACCTAACCATCATCACCCAGAGTTTGCACGTTTGAGGCTTTGTATTAGCAGATGACTGGCATAAAAAACTCCTTTGAGATTAGTTCCCCCCACACATGAGCATTTCTGTATCTCCCAGACTACTCTTCTCAACTTGTAGACTGTCCAGCCAGGCCTTCCACAACTTAGAGAAGAAAATGCTTCCTCCAGCTGTCTGCTCTGTGCTTGCTTGCTATCCAAATTAAACTTGCTGTGGACAGCAACACATTCCCATTTCACGCTGGTTTGATTAATGTGTCTCAGCTAATTGTGTGAAAGATTCCAGTCCTTTCGACTGTGAGACCAGGTTATTGTTCAGCCAATCTCAGCTACCATGTGAAAATGGGGGCTGTTTAGTGTTCATGCACCAGAATCAAAGGAGGGGCATCTTGGACTGGGTCACAGAGCAACACCCACTTCTTTGAAAAGATGTTACTATGCTCTACTAAACCTGTAAACCTCTTGCTCAAAGCACGTCTTCTCCCTCCTCCTCTCCCCTCTGTTCTTTTTTTCCCTGTCCAGATAGACAGGCTCCCCCCACCACTCTCCTATGGTATAAGTGAGAGAGAATGGCTAGATTGTGGATGGCTGAATTTCACATTCTAGGGTTTTTAATATTTCACTTTAATATTTCTCTTACAGAATGATCCTGCTGAGAGGCTGAGAATCAGTGCTCATCATTTCCCCCTCACTGACACTTGAATATATTTTCCCAGGAGAAAACATTAAACAAAAAGAGAAAGAGAGAAAGGGAGAGAGAGAGGGAGAAGGAGAGTGACTGAGCTAGCTTTTCAAAGCATACTTCTCAACCTGCCCACATCAAAATAAGAGACAACTGGCCCTTTGAAGTTCAGGACACAGACTTCTCTACCAGCTCATGTGGAAATAAAAGAATCCAGCTTTGTAAATCACACGGATTTCTCACCTTGCCGACATCAAAATCAGGGACAGTGACCTTTAAAGCTGAGGTTTAAAGGTCCCCAAACCAATCTCCATAAAAATAAGGAAAGTTCAGATAAACTGCATCTCCAGGTGCCTGTCAGCTTTTCCAGTCTAAAGCAGGAGACATTGGTCCTTTGCTCCACTCCACTGAGGAGTGGAGACTAAATACACTGTGACACTTTGAGCAATGAAATCTTCCATTAGACTTACATACACCAGCACTCAGTGAGGCAACTTTGGCACACACATACCTTTGTAAACCAATCCAATCCCAGTCCTGTTGTAGCTCCTACACCACTGTCATTAAGTAGCTCAAGGGATTTAGTAACACTGAAGCACAGGATTTTTCATAATAAGAATTACTGACCCAACAATGGAGTGGCTAGTGGCTCAGAGAAAAAGCTGGTCTTCTCATGAGTTAAATCCTACCTGGGTTATAGCTGGGGAGCTTGGAAAGTCCTGGCCAGGTATCTTCAGTTGGGACCCCCAATACCTGCAAAAGAAGAGAGTGAGAAGAACAATGACCTCTTTCTGCCCATTTTTGCCTTTGTGTGGAGTTGGAGGAATCACTCTCAGTGGAGAGTGACTAGCCTTTCCTGTAAAGCAGAATCACACTGCCCTGGCTGGTGCTGGATCTACCACTTTGCATAAAGGACACTGACATTTTAGCACTTGATTATGTAGCAGAAAGGCTCCTGCTGAGATTGAATGCTGTTGCTGCTGGGAACATCAGTGAAGGCATATGCAGCTCCACTGCCAGGTGCCACTGCTGCCTGTGTTTGCCAGCCCAGGGGTCACACAGCTGAGCCCTTTTCAGTGCTGAAGGTGTCCTCCCACACCAGAGCTGCACTGGGGACTTACTGTGCCTGCTTGCACTGGCAGCAGCTGGTATGTTCAGCAGCAGCACAGGCTGGGAGCTCTGAGAGAAACCCTTCTGAGGAAAAAAGTAAAGCTGGCAGACAGGTCTAGTAGCTGAAGCTAGAAAACAGTGCAGAGCCTCACTCTGAAGGATACAGAGCTTCAGCAATGTCTTTGGCCTTTATTGAGGATTGTGGGCTTCAGCAGTAGCTGCTCACTGTGCAAAGTCTGGGCCAGTAAAGCCTCCTCCAACTTCTTTTTAGTTGCTGAAATGTGTGACATGTCCAGATTTCTGCAGTTGCAGATGTTTAGTGTTGTTATTATTATTAGTTAATGCATGCAAAGTGCCCTGTGCCTGTTGATATGGATGATGTGTGCTAAAGCAGTAAAGCCACATATTTAAGAAGAGTTCACAGCATGTGCATTGGTGGTATAAATCAGTATTGCTAGCTCCAAGCATTCAAAGCTTTCATCCAGACAACACCCAGAACTATCAGGTTTCCTTAAAAAGCAGTGAAATTTTAACATGAAAAGTTTCAGGGTTTTTATTCACTTTCTCTTCTCCAACACTAGATTTGTCTCACATTAGTTACCCTTTGCATATGATAGACAATTCCTGTTTCTGAAAGTGTGAGCTGAGATATATGACATGGGGAACTTGGCCTCCCCAAAATTTGTATTAAGATTGCAAGAAAACAGGCATCAGTTAAAAAACACATTAAAGAAGGAAGAACTATAAAGCCAGCTTGTGGCACTTGTAAAGCATCGGGTAGTTGATTATTTTTCTCACTCACAGCTGGGAAACAGCTGTGACAATTGCAGCTGCCTGGAGAAGACAGCCACAAGCAGGGTTCGCATCTCATCACTGGCACACGTTAGCACGGCGTCCGGTTGCTGTGGCCCATGGTTCCAAACTGTTCATGGGCTCAGTCTGCCACTGCAAAGACTAAGGGGGAGGATCCTTGTCTCTGCTCACCTGTAAAATCACCTTGGAAAGTTGAAAGCTCCCCAAAGAGAAAGTGTCGTGCAGTGTTCAGCCAGCTGGGGATGTTGGAAGCTGGCTTGCACCATGGGTAATTTGACAGCCCTGGGTGAGGATGCCTTCTTGACTGGTGTGTGTATCATGTGACTAGGACAGGTCTGCCCAAAGCAAACTCTGTATGCACACAAAAGAGAGATTTGGAATTTGAACCTGAATCCAGAATTTGCTTTCTTTTTGCTATCCTGTTAGCTTTCCAGGAAGCTCTGCTCAGTGGGCCCTCATTCTTCAAGTTTTCTTGTGAGTTGTCAAACATCAGTTCTACAGGCATCAGAGGAAACTGGGTAAGTTCAGTGCATAGTAAAATCATACTTGACAGGGTCAGCTCAGCATTCTGATTCTTTTGGTGAAGAATTTAAACAAATAATTATTTGCGTGTGCTTATACTTTTCTACATAAGGATTACAGCAAATGTTACATATTACTGCATTGGGGAGTGAAAGTGTTCAGAGCACCAATCACTGAATGCCATATGAATGTGTATTTGCATTTTCAGAGCCTTTTCATTACAAAAGATACTTTTCCAACCTGTAAACCTCCATCTCTTTTTGTTTTCCAATGGAAAACAAATGGGGCAAGTGATTTCTTTTCTCTTCTCTTCTCTTCTCTTCTCTTCTCTTCTCTTCTCTTCTCACCCTGGACCTTTAGTGAGATTCCTTACCAAATCAGACAATGTGTTACAATTATTTATTTGAAATTAATTATACTCTGACAATTGTTTTACCTGTTGTGTATCTACCCTAAATCTAGATGTTAACTCTCTTGTCCATGTCATCAGAAAAAACAAAGCTACTTCTCTACACTCTATAGTGAAAGGTCTTGGTGCAGGTCAGTTCATACCACTGGGGAAGAAACAGTTTCAGCCAGAAACATTTTTACAGTGCTTGTATTTCAGCAAGTGCTTTAAGATGGTGTAAATCATTGTTCTTTCTCTCTGCCCTCTAACTGCTTGCTTCTCTTGTGATGACTTAGCTGAAGGAATCAACCTCGCTGATTTTGTTTAATTTTGTTGGGAAGTCTTATTGTATGTTTTGTGTTGAGGAGCCTTGTCGTCATTCATTTGGCACAATGTTTGGCTCAGCAGCAGAAGCACCCTGGTGGCATGCTGTAGCCTAATCCAGCCCACATGAAGTCCTTCTCAGCATGATGTTAATCAATAAGATGGAGCTTTTGCATGCAAATCCTATGCCCAGCTTCTTAAAATTTGAATCATGGATCTTGAGTTGGTCAGGTTTGCTTGCTCTCCATGCCATGAGCAAACTGGAGATGCTGGAGTTCTCATTCACTCATGCCACACTTCCATAACCAACACTGCCAGCCTTCCCTTCATGTTTGGCCCTGCTCCTGGGCCATGCCTTCATGAGTACCAGTGCTCATTAGGGCTACTGTTTGTGCAGCCAGAGGATGAGAAGGGCAAAGAAGCTGATCTCATTTAGAGTAAGCCAGGGAGAAAACAAAGTTGCAGGGTCCCAAGTTCATGTAGCCCCACAAGTGAGAGGTGACACAGACCAGCAATGAGCAGCCAGGGATAGAGATGGGAGATGGAGACTGCTTTAGGTGGCACTTGCCTTTAGAACAATTTTTGGTAAAATGACAGCCAGTCAGTCCTGATGATTCAACAGGACAAACACATTTCACAGAATGGGGATTTTCCAACCATGTATCTGTATGGTGTGTGAACCAACAGTCCCACGTGGAGACGAACATACTGGGCCATAGAGACTCATGCACACAAATGCAGGTGGTCTCTCTACCAGTGCAGGGTGCCTCTACTAGTAGTACATGAAAGGAACTGACTATGAGAAAACAGTAGGAATCTCCATTCTGAACCTCACACTCAGCAAAATATCTCATGCTAGACATCGAGAGCCTCTAAGGAGCTTTGAAATCTTGGTCTAACACAGAGCCTCATTCCAGGCTGTATAATATCATAAAACCTCCTGTGAAAAGCACTAATTATTTCATAACTCTTTAAACTTCCTCATGATTTTTAAATAAGGGGTTTTTTTTGCCTTCTGTGGCACAAATCCTGTTAATCATGGTATTAGTTATAATACCAGAGAAATTACGATAATGCTATAACCCTCTAATGCAAACCCACAGGAAATGTATCCAGAGATTTCAGAGACATAAGTGTAAGGATAGCCTTCATTCACACTCTGAGAAACTGGACCCTGCCCTGGCTTTGAACCTTGTTAATTGGCTAAGTATGGATTCCCCCCCCCCCAATAATTCTTCCCCCCACCCCTGTGAAAGAGAAATTCAGCATTTATTTAAATGGACTGAACTCAAGTCTAAAAATCTGACTTATGCAGTCTAATGGCTGTAAAGTAATTTCTCATTATTTAAATGAATTTTATTTTTTCTGTACTTTCTCCTTTGAAAACCCATGTTTCAGAAACACTCTATGCATAAGAGTAAATCCTTGGGAGAAAATGTGAAAGGGTAGACACAGAATCACAGAATCTGCTGAGTTGGAAGGGACCCAAAAGGATCATTGTTTCCAATTCCTGGCCCTGCAGAGGACACCTCAAGAATTCCATCATGTACCTGGCAGTGTTGCCCAAAAGCTTCTTGAGCTCTGGCAGTCTTGGCTGTGACCACTTCCCTGGGGAGCCCATTCCAGTGCCCAGCCACCCTCTGGGTGAAGAGCCTTTTTGTAATATCCAACCTAAACCTCCCCTAACATAACTCCAGGCCATTCCCTCTGGTCCTGTCACTGGTCACTATGGAGCAGAGATCAGTGCCTGCCCCTCCTCTTTCCCTCACAGGGAAGTTGTGACTGCAGTGAGGTCTCCCCTCAGACTCCTCTTGTCCAGGCTGAGAAGACCAAGTGATACCTACAGCAAGACCTAAGATGAATGCTTAGGTGACCTCGCTGTTGAGTCAGCACGAGCGGCCAGGAGCGCACAGAACCTGTCAGTGCTGCTGACTGCCTCAGCTCTGCCACCTGCCCTTGGAATGTGCCTCGCTTCCCCAGCAGGGAAAACAACTTAGGAAGGTCCCAAATATGTTGCTCTCACTCACTACTATCTTTATAAAGTTATTTCACACTCTCCATTATGGCAAATCAGTCTCTAAAGCCACACCATAAACTGGATGATACAAAACGTACCAAGTTAAAGTGAAGAAAGATCTGTAACAAACCTCAAGGTCTTGCCATTTTCAAGGTAATTCTGGAGCAGTATTAGTGTGCTGTATCCTACAGTAAGTAAAGGATTTAAAAAGAAGCAACAGAATTTGCAGTACCTGCACACCTTTTATGCCTTTTTCAATTTTATGTCACTTTAATTGGCTTGCTTTAAATTTTTGATGAGATGACAAACATCAAAAGGAAGTCATTTGATTTACTCCTGTGTCTGTAAGAAAGTTGCCAAATATAAAATGGGTTACAAAGTCTGCTATGAATTTGGCAGATTAGACCAAATTATTTCTGCTATTCACAGGACCTATGCTTAGGGCTTCAAAATTAACTAGGCTGGAGCAATGGATTCTTTTTCTCTTCCATTTCAGAGTGCATTTTACTCACCGCCCAGATCTTCTCCAGTTGTTCATGAGTACCAGAAGTTGCTGCAAATATTGGCTGACCCTGGATCATTTCCACAAATATACAGCCTGCACTCCTGCAAGAAACCCAAGGTATTAACTCATTCACATAAATGATATATGCATTATGATTGCTAGGATGGGTGGGGAGAGAGGCAGAGATAATTGTTGGAATGGAAATTTAGGAATTCTGATTTGTAAATGCAGAAATCTTGATACAAGTGCACAAGAGAAACAGGAAGGGAGCAGATCAAAGATAAGTTACATTCACATGCCTCCAGGATTTCAAAATCCAAAGGGGTCAAGGTTCCATACATGTCTATTTCCATCTCCTTTTTCTCATCAGCACCACCCACTAAAAAAAAAAATAAATTCACTTTTCACCATCAAGACAAGACAGGTGAAATCCTTGGAAAAGAAGCCGACTAAGCACTATCTTTTTTTCCAGTACCAAAAAAATGCTTTCAGGTCTCTGTCCATTAATCCTGTTACAAACTATGTGATAAAAGGATCATGGCAGAAGCCTGTGCATGGACTTTCCATGAGAAAAGGGTACAAAATTGGAGTACTTACAAAACAGGGAGGTAGTACACACTTCATGGGTTGAAGGATATATTAGATGCAGAAAGAACTCAGAGGCACTAACTACTATAGCCATTTTCCTTCAGAAGCAATTAGCTCTTTACTGGAAAGCTGAAGGCAAGATTCCATAGCATAAAAAACCTGGTCATAACAGCAAGTTAAAATATTCTTATTTTTATGTCATCCCCTGCTCTACACTTGCTCCAAAACAAACCAGACAGCTTAAAAAACCCAACATCTGGCAAATTGCTTCATTTTACTAAGGTGTATTAGTCCTCATGGCATTAAAGATTAAATAGTTGTGATCGAGGTAGAATTGCCTATTTGCAACTATTCTCATCTCCTACTATATGGTGTAAAACTGCACTAATTTACTTTTTAATGATTTCCTTCAATTTTTTCTACATTTTCTGTCTTTTCACTAAGCCCCATTGCAATTCTTCAGGTTTCAGTCTCATTCTTCTTTGGTTATATCATATTTGAGTCCTTTAGGCTCAACTCTTGAAAACCCAGCTTTGTATTACAAGCTCTGAAAGTATTATTTGCACCTGCTTAGCAATAACTGGTAATCTGTTCTGGTCATCTGTACTCCTGTGTTACCCTTTGCACCTTGTTTTTGCAATACTGTAGTTGCTTTTCCCACCTGGCTGTGGTCAGGTGAAACCCTGGCACGGAGCTCATCTGTGGTATTTATTTTGGTCATCCTTGCACACCAGCTGGTGCCAAGCCTGTTTGCAGATCCATATCTAACACTGTTTTCATAAACATCTCTGCTGCATTTTCCCTTAGCTTCCTGTGCTCTAACCTTGGTAAGTCTTGTGAGATGAGCTTCTTTGCTTGTCTAATATCTTCTTACAGAGTCCAGGCATCATGAAACTTAAATCCACAGCTTTTGCAACAAAGAGTTTTCCTGGTGTTTCATAGCACTACCACATGATTAGACATTACTTTGGAACCCACAGACAGATTCTACTGAGCCCAGTGGCATACCAAGACTGTTTTCACAGCTGATGGATGTACCCAAGTGGCTCACCCTATTTTGCAACCCCAGGGGCTGCTGTAATTGCACAAGTTCAACTGTGCATGGTCAAAGCAATTTGCGTACTCTTGATTTGCAGGGGGAAGAGAAACAACTGTCTGTGTTTTTGGAACTAGTGATGATGATGTTCTACCACAGTTTGCATTCTGATATCCTAGCCAGAAAGGACCATAAGACTGGCAAGAGCAGGAACTTTGGAAACTAATGGTACTCATATTAGCCTTGCAGTAGAGGCCTCAGCTTTCCCTCTGAGAGTGACAGTTACAGCTCTGACAGCATTATGAGGATCCTTCTGATAAAGAGGATGATTCAAAAGCATTTACTTTTAAATGTTTCTAAATGTTGCTTAGACCTGGGGTTGTTTTGCTTTTCCCCTTTTCCTTCTTTCCCCTCTAATATTAATTTCTCAAGTCTTCTTACCCCTTCCAGTCTATAAGTTTCGCAGAGGGCCTCAGTCCTATAAAATTGCCTTGGGAAGTGATAGGGCAGAGGGAGGGCTCTTTTGGGAAGAGGCCTAGAAGTGCCAGATATGTACACAAATCAAAACAGTGACAGTTAAAGTAGTAGGAAAAGTTACGGGGATATTCAGGGAGCACAAGCAGAGCTGATTTAGACAGTACAGTTGTATCCATCCGCAGTCCCTGGGGAAGGTCTGAACACTGTACTTTGCCCTCAGTCTTGCAGTGCTGCATCACACAGTGGAAAGATTCTCATCAGAATTAAGATTTAAGATATCTCTACTGCATCCCACAGTTCCCTCTCCATGTTTTAGAGTTTTTGTTGGCACTATTTTATATTTAACCAGAAATATATCCTTCCTCTTGTTCATCACCAAGCCTGCTTTATACAGTGGAGCCCTTAGCCAATATGTCCCAGTTTGTCATATTGGGGCACTGTGAACCAGGCTGAGGAGAAGGCTGTAGTGAGCCTGGCAGGTCCTTGTTAAATGACTGCATGTGAACTCCTATTCTACATGAATCTACAAGGGAAGAACACTGTGAGTTTTTTTCTCTTTTTGTTTTTTTAAATGGAAGATTATACAAGGAAAGACTGACTGAAAAGACATTTTAAGGCACACATGATGTTTGCAGCCATTAATGTGGCTGTATATAAAGCACTTGGTGTTTTTCTAAAAAAGAAAAAAAAGTCCTTCTGATATGCAGTGTAATCTCCCTGAAATCCCTTAATTGAATCTTCTGAAGTCCTGAAGAGATAGTGAGGGAGAAAGAAAGAGAAAAGAGATACAGAGAGATTAAAGCAGCTTTTCTAGTTAGTCCAAGAGCGACCAAGTCTCCTTCTATATCTCTTTCTTCATCTATTCAAGGCTTCATTCACTTCCCATGTGCCTCCCACTGACAGTATTGCTGCTCAAGCACACTATGCATGAATTGCAATAATGTTTTATTTTGTTATAATTGGTTTCTTTAAACCAAGGCTTTGACACCCACTGTCTCATGCCATTACCAAGGGCATTCTGACCTGCCTTCATGTAAATTGCAGCATCCAAAGGACATAGGGGTTTTTTTCCTTTCTTCCCAATAGACAAGTAACATCTGTGTGAATTCACATTATTTCCTAATAGACAAAAATTGAACTTAAATGCAGTGTACATCAAGATAATAAATGACTCTTGTTAGAGGAAGTTACTGAATAGAGCTCACTGAAGTACTCTCTATTCTCTCAGCATGACATCTTTCTTTAGGGCAAACACTTGGAATGTTGTTATTATAAGGAGGCGTTATAACAAAGGTGCCCATAGTGTGGATGTAGTTCAGTGGGACAGACAGCACTGTGCTGCTAGGGCTGGGATCTTTGTACACCACTCCTACATTGCTATTCATTACACCAGAGCACAGTCATGTAGTGGGGATGTTGGTTTTGCATAGGCAGAAATGACATGTTTTCTGTGCATAGCTGCCTTTGGACGGGGTCAGCTTTCAGGGAAAAAAACCAACAGGCTTATGCCTGATACAAACCCTCTAATCTGCTAGGCAGGCATGTTCTTCAAACTCAGCAGACATTTCTGAGACACTGTCTGGAGGGAAAAATGACAGGTAGTGGGGGTAGTAGACAGGACTATTTAGACTGGCTTAGCAGCTGGAAGCCATTAGAATTTAGCAAGGTTTTCCTCCTTAGAGAAGCCTTTAAATAATTAAATTAGCAGCAGTTCTAGGGAAGTAAACAATCTAAAAACTTCCGTTTGCCTGACCTACCCTCCAGACTTAGGTCACTGGAGTGTCTGATAAGATGCAGACCTCTGGAGGGAGATACAGCCTGTGAAGACCTGGAGCTTTGCTGTTTGTAAACTTAGTCAACCATCTTGCACATTCTTCAGCCTGCTGCACTCCTACCTCTTCCCAGCCTTTGATTCTGCAGTAGTTAAGAGTAAGTCCTGGTGGGACAGGTACAAGCAGAAGATGAACTGGTCTGAAGAAAGGGTGAAGCAGCAATACCATGTACAGATGTAAAATTGCCAGAATCAGGAAGGTCTCCTGCAATTTCACGAGCTGCACACTGCCCATGAGCATGTCAGGACTGTGTTGTTGGAAGTGGGCTGAGGTGGTGCAGAAGTAAGCCAGAAGGTAGATGAACCTTACAGTTAGCACAGCTACCATCCAAGCCAGCCCAAAAGACCACTGGGAGCCTGCAAAGCTTTCATCCTCTGCTGTTTTCTGCCCACTCTCAGAGACTCCTCTCCCATCTATGAATGTGCAGCTTGTTTCCTTTTGATTCCCAAACACATCAAGATTTTTGGGTAGAGCTCATAAGGAAACAAGGCTTTAACAGACACAGCCCTTCTCCTGAGTGAAGTACAGACTGCATCTGAGACATGGCCTTTGAGAAGAAGGACACAGTATCACAGAAATAATTAAAATCTCAGACATCTTTCTATCTCCAGACTCATTGAGAAACCCTTTAATGTCACATTCTGTTACCAAGGCCTAAGTAACTGATGGTGCAGTTGTGGGTCCAATTGTTTTCACACAAAACCATTTCTGCAGAGAGTTACTACTGGCTCAGCTGACTACATAGATACACTTGTATTGAGCAAATGTGTTCTCTTGCAAGACACAAAAATGGTCCATAGATGTTACCAGACAAGATGCATATCTCTCATAAATATTATCAGATGAGGTTTGTATCAATCCACAGCTGAGATGTAGTGACATAATTCCCAAAAACTTCTATGAACCCTCTACGAAGCTTCTACAAAACTCCACACTGCTCACAAATTTACTGCTCAGAGGTGTTAATTCCTCTACTTACAACTGTAACTAGTGTAACTTTGGCTGATTTAATTTAATTCAGATAAAAATATTTTTTCCCAGGGAACCCCAGAGCTTTGATATTGGTCAGTACCAAATATCTATATCAGAAGAATAAGCTGTAGCTCCAAGCAGCACATCAGGAGGACGGTACCAGAGTGTCACAACTTCAGAGGAGTATGTCTGTCTGGGGATGGACTGGGCACGAGAAAGGCCTGCAAAAAAACCCCAACAAACCAATAAAAAATGCTGTGTTAGGACAGTCCTTCTACCTGTACAGTGCATAGATGATAATAATTGGAAACAGGACATCATTTTCTCTTCAAACACAAGTAATCTCAATGCAGCTTACAAAGCAATTGGCAAAGAAAGTGTTTCTTGAATATACCTCTGGGGCAGATCAAATCAAGTAATAGGCTGTGTTTTACAGGGCTTTATCATTTGAGACTGAAGCAGCTATCCCAAACCAATGCCAAGAAAGCCTTTTTGGGTCACACATTGCTGTGGACTCCACACCTTACATTATTTTCTGAACAGAGAGGGGCTGATTCTTTGTTCTCTTGAACGAGTTTTACATGGCAGTAATTGCTCTGACTTAAATGAGTTTAATCCCTGCACCTATCAGTATAAATACAAGAAAAGCTGTACTGACCACAGAAATAGTTTCCTGAAGTTCAAGAAAAGGTTATGCTTCTCTGCCTTAATTGGCTGTGGATACAGATCTATATGCATGCTGCAGCTTTGGCCTGAGCAGATACACAGCTGTATCTAAACTGTGACTCACCAAAGTCGGCTAATTTGAGCTCACCGAGGCAACTGATGAGCAAGTTCTGGGGTTTCAGATCTCGGTGAAGAATGTGTTGTTGGTGGATGTAAGCCAGGCCACGCAAAAGCTGGAACATGAAGAGCTGGGAAAAGCCAACAAAAAAACTGAAATGATTTTGTGTGACTTTGCATTGATACATTAACTCTGAACTTTAGGAGAACCCTGGAACAAAGCAGAGACAAAGCAATAAGAAACCAATAAAAATCCCAAAAATGAGTAGAGCTGGCTGAGGAGGAGAAAACTGTGGTGGGTTATGACTGCCCTACAGCTTTCTGAGGTTTTTAGGGTGGAATATTTGGCCAGGAGGGCAGTTTAACTGTGGTCCATAAATGAACATTTTGGAAATTTAGCTTTTCTTTAGAAATGGACTGTTGATTGCAGGAGCAAAGTCAGCTTGCCAAAACACAGACCCCAGCTTTCAGAACAGCAGCTGTGCTGGTTGCAGTGCTCAAGACAAAGACACAAAGACACACAGCCAAACAAAATGAAAGCCTAAGGAGCTGAAGGTTTGCCCCCTTGAGCCGGATGGCACCAGCTGACTGGGTTCCATGGCCACTGCACATGCCACCAGTGGAGCAGGGAACTGACTGACCTGGCAATGGGAACTGTTGGCTTCAAGCTGGGAGATAACATGAGGACCTGGTTTTAAAAATACAGCAAATCAGATATGATGAACAAAGCAAGCAAGGAAGAAGGAAACCAAGCAAGAAAGGAAGCCAATAAATAAATATCTAACTCCCACCATCATGGTAGTCTAAACAAGCCTGGGGTAAAATAAGTTGGGCTGAAACAAGTTATGAAGTTTGACAACGGATAGAAATAAAACACAGCAAAAGTAATATGACTTCATCAGAGAAAATATATTTTTCACCAGAGGTTTATCCTGAAGAGGAAGAAAAACAGTGACACCCATAGGTCATTTTTGTATCAGACAATTGTCCCTGTAACATACTGCATATTTATATTCCATAGGAATCACTCAGAAAAAACAAACTGCATTTGCCAGCAAAAATGAAGCAAGCTAGATGACCCTCCTGAAGGAGCAGTAAATAATTTGCAGTTCAGTTCCTGCTGACAGTGAGTATTCTGGACAGGAAAGCAGAGCAGCTGGCTAGTGTTTATTCACAGAAATGCCAGGGAGTACATATTACAGCCATGTGCTCCACGTGCTTTACGAGCATGTCTGGTAGCAGCACCCTTGAGATCTGTGCCAAAACTGCTACACTGCATCTCAGATGTAGCTGAGCTTTAAGGATGTTTAAAATCTGAGGCCCAAAAAAACTTCATCAGAATTGGTGTTGCTTAACAACTATCTGGAAAAAGACGTGAACAATGTGGCAACATTTGAAGATGACAGAAGTATTTAGATTAGTTGTGATAACAAGTGACAGTGAGGAACTTCAGAGAGATCTGACAAAGCCAGATGAATAGGCAGTTTGATAAGATACAAAGTTATTGTTGACAGCTGTAAGATAAATTAACTGAAGCTGCTCAGGAAAAGGGCCCAGGCATTCACTGAGGACATCTGCACTGAAACCTTAAGCCAGTGTGCAGCAGCAGTCCTGAAAGTTAATTAAATGTGAAGATGCATAGAGAGGAGAGCAGGAAACTATTATAACATCAATCTATAAAGTAAGGGTACATGTTTGGCTGTGTTCAGATCCAGTCAATCACAAAAGGTATGGGAGAAAAAAAAGGGACTTAAATGACTGCAAATATGAAGATAGTTCCAAATGGGAAGAGAGTGAGATGTGAGAGTTTTAATTAGAGAGATAATGCATTGTAACAATAAAAGGACAAAAATTTGTGTAGAGATAGGTTTCCTTGCCACAAGATGTCATTGTTCTCAAAAGCTGAATGCCTGCTTGTACGCTCAGAAAATAGGAAGAGGAGCTAACTGAAAAAAGGCCTGGAGACTTGGAGACTGAGAGGGAGCTTGTTATATCATCAAAAGTAGATTTTCTCCCAAGTTTTTGTCATATATGTAACAAATATGAGTAAGTAATTTACAGTGACCATACATAGTGGAAAATAACTCTTCCTCATGCCTTAAGGGATACAAGTCTTCTAAGGAACTCACCATAACATTGCACAAATGGAGTCCTCCAGGATGCTGGCTCATGTACTGTGCTAGATCTGTGTGCTAAACAAAAGAGAAGAACTTGAGGCAAAGTTTCTGCTGTAAAATGCCTCTACCAACAATGCCTCTTCTGTAAATGGAAAAATATGCAACTGCTACAAAGCTGCCTATTTCACCTGGGTGAACATCTGGTCTGATGCAGCACACAAGCATGTGCTTAAGTTCTGGGCCACACCAGGGACCTGGCTGACCTGTTATCTCACCCAGCACTTGTGACCTGAAGCTGCTGCTTAACAGAATTCATACTTGTGCCAGAACTAACCACAAAGCTGCAATAAGAAGACATAGCCTCTGTATTTCCTTTATCATTTGGTAGACTATCTGCAAAAGCATGAGAAGTAGCAAGATTTAAGTGGAGAATTTTATTGGTATCCTGGTCTCCCCATGAGAGCAACTCACAGCTTGGTCATGGTAAGCCACTGGGGTCAGTGCCAAATCTGACCCCAGCTGGGATGTGAGCTCATATCATTATTTCCTATCCTTGCTGTGGCAGAAAAACAGTACTTTTATTGTGTTGGCAAGGCAGAAATGGAGGTAAATAATGTCTGTCACCCCAGTGGACACAAGACATGGAATTATTTTTGCATACAGCTGTCGCATATGCAGAAAGAAAAGAGTAAGGCTGTGTGGCTGGAAAGCAGGAGATCAAGAAGGAAAATCAATCATTGCACTACAGAATTACAACTTGTTTCTTTGTAGATGTCTCATAGAGCAGTAAATTCATTCTGCAGCCACTTCCCAATACTTCCCAGTACTAGCTCCACAGGAAGCTAGAAAAACATGAACTCACCATGTACTCAAAGACAAATGTTAGTGTCTTCTTGGTCTGGATAATGTCATGAAGCAGTACAATGTTGGCATGTTTCAAACACTTGAGAAGAGAAGCTGGGAAAACACAAAAGGAAGATCAACTTTACTGCTGCTGGAAATGGAAGGAGATCGTGCACAAAACAAGGCAGCGAAAATAAAAAACTGGGGAGTAATAGTCCAGACTTGGCAGTTCTGTAAGAAGTGGCAGCTACTGAGCCTGAAGGAGGATGGAACAGCTCTGCAGAGAAGCAAGCATCAGTGCTCCAGGCTTGGCAGAAGCCCATCCATCTCTCAGAGGTGGGATCTTGCCTCTATCAGAAAGAGCAGTTCACAGTTCCCATGTGTCAGCTTATAAATTGAGGAGATGTAATTTTTTCAAGGTAAATGCTGAGAGGGAGGACCTAGGAGCTCCGAGAGCCAGAATGCAGCAGAATGAAGTTACTGAGTGAATAGTAACTTGTATGTACCTATAAAACTTAGGCACACTTTTCTTTCAGCCTAACTATCAAAAGCATCATTGCAACTGTGTGTCCCTGGTCCTTAGGTCCTGACCTGCCTTTGCCAAGCCTTGTCACATCCAGGGTGTGGTGATGCAGGGGGCAGCACAGTCTCTGGCCCCATATAGACTACAGAGCCCTGACTTATGCTAAGGCAGGAGCTGCAGCTTTCTGAGCCTTTTGGCTGTGCATTGGGTTTGCTATGTTAGAGCAGGCTCCAGGCAGAACTCATATGAAAGGAGCTTCTCAGCAGAAAGTCAGCTTCTCAGTCTGCACAGCTTAATCATTTGCTACCTTAGGTATGAGACAATATAGCAGTAACTCTGTACAGAGGAGGAATGTGGGGAAGAGGTGAAGCTGGGATTACTTTGCCTGTAGGTCACTGGCACAACTGAATAATCTGACCCAGCTGTTCACAAACAGGGAACACAAACTACACAGAGAGAAGCCCCAAAGCCCCGAAAAAGCAGATGTCCCTGACTGGAGATCTTAGTTCTGCTTCTGACATAGCAGAATAGCCTCAGAGCTGTTCCAGACCCACTTTTTGCTGCTGATAAAACCAAATTAGTTTGCTGTCAGACCACACAGTGCTACAAATTTCATTCAAATAAGGCACTGGCATACAATCTTGTTTCAGCTGAATTAGCTGAAGCACACAATACAGAACATGGGCCAGCTGTGGGAGGCACAGTTTTGGTCACATTAAAAGCTGCTTTTTTGTTTTTCACACAATCTGAAAAAGATATTTGAAGAGTTTCATGCAGGCAAAGCAAATTTATACCGGATTAGCACTTTGCCTTTTTTAACCGTAACAATCTCACCTGATTCTAAAAGCCCTACTGCCAGAGTTACACTGTATTACACAGCTGTGGCCCAAGCCTGTGTCACTCCTGAGACTACTGAGCAGTGAGGGATGCCTGATTCAGCACAACTACTGGATTACAAAGTAGTTCTTGCACAGAGCTTGGTGTTGCTGCAGCTAAACTGCCTCTGCCATTGATACTAGTCCATTTAGCTACCACCAGTACGTCCCGAGTGCATAGCAGTATGGATGTTAAACATGCTTCACACTCGCTATGAATCTAGTAAAAATACTCTGGCTAGAGCCCATCTGCTACAGAACATGATAACCTGACTCTGTGATACCTCAAAAATTCCATATGACCGGAATTATTGCTCCAGAGGGGCAGCACAGAGGGTCCACAGTAAAATGGAGGATTCAGCGCCTGTGCCTCAATCAGGCTTCTGGGAACTGCTCCTCACTTTGTTGCTTCTACAACCCCCTGCTGGGGTGTCAGGTGCTACTGCCAGAGCCGAGCTTTAAACGCATTTTGTCTCTGCGGGGCTTCCTGGGGTGAAGCGTCTCTTTGTCAGCGGAGCACATTCCTCCAGAGTAGGAGAGAATGCGCCGCCTTAATAAATCTTGTGCTTTGTTTTTGCTGCTGACTTACATTGTAAATTTGAGGTGTCAGATGCTGCAAAGCCCAGCAGTGCACAAAAGACCTACTTAAAGCAGACCCTTCGTAGGATCGCCCGTGTTTTCTCCCATAATGAATGAAGTTAAGACTCTCAGCCTGTCCAGTAGAGCATGTTAAAGGGGTGCTGATCTTTGGTGCATCATTAGTTCAATGCAGATAAAGCTTTTAATGTTTATTTTACTGGTGGGCTACAAGTGTAAATGCAGAGCAAAAGCACCACAGCAAATGAGGAAAGGTAACACAAGCCATTTTTTAAATAGGCATATTTAGGTGTGTCTCTGCTTTCACACAGAATTGGACTAAGGACTTTGTAAACTTTCTTGTCTTAATTACAGTTATAAACCTGGAGTGGATTCAGTAACCTCTCTCATTATTCTGAGTTGACTGCTATGAGAGTCCTTCTGTGCTGGCGCTGCTCTGTGAAAGCTGGCACATCTGGTCCCTGACTCTCCATCCCTGTCACAAGATTAACCCTCGTTTCACAAGTGCAGTAAGAACTAAAAAAAACCCTCATGTGTGTTGTCCTACTTGGATAGCTTTCACTAATACCATAAAACAGACTGGCACAACAGTTGCATATTTCTGTGTATGGAAGAACACAGATTATGGTCTTCTTGGGATTGTACAGCAGATGAAAATAGAAACCTTGGTGTTTCAGGCAGGCTTGTGAACTTAGTCTGTAGGGAAATGTAAATACTTTCAGCCAAAATCAAGTATTTGGACAAAAGCATTTCTTTCTCCAAGAAATTGAGGAATCTGCCCAGTGTTCTACAAAGTCGACTGATAAGAAGAATTTCTCATTGGACTGAAATAACAGATGTTATTACACATCACTTTTATTGAAAGTATCTCTCTTCGGGCTGGGATCTGTGATGCTCCAGGAATTGGCTAGGAAAGTGTCATGGTTGTAGTAACAAGTCTACAACTGCCCAATGCAGCAGTGGCAAAGGCTGTGTACTTTCTAGAGGGAGAGAGAAAGCAGCTGTGAAGGAGGCAGCAAGCAGAAGGTGCAAGGGGGCCCTGGCACTGCTAGACAGAACATGCTCCAGCTGCAGCTGGCACTTTCCTTATCACAGGCATGGGTGCATCTCTCACAAGTGCATACACCAGAGATTCCTTCTCTGTCCATTCCATGCCTGTCCAGCCCAGCGTGAAGACATCCTCCATGAGAGGATAAGGACACTGAGAATTTTGGGAGAAGGACAGCTGGCACATTGAATAAGCAAGGAAGGACTGAGGAAGACATCATGGAGCTTTTCCACATTGAAACAAATGCTCTTCAAGAGTGATGCTCCTCTATGTCTTACCTTCCCGAATGGCTGTAAAGGGCACTCCCTCCTCTGCCTCCAGCTTGATCACTTTCAGTGCCACCACCTGGCTGTTGATCCTGTCAGGTCACAGTAGAAAGTCACATGAAGCTTCTCAGTGCTTGGCATGATAACACTAACAGTCTCCCAAGCAAACACCCAAGCAAAATTTCTGGGGCTTGCTGACCCACTCAGGCCAAACTCAAAGGTAATTCCAGACCTCCTCCATCCTGTGTGAGCTGAGACCAGCCCACCTGACTAAACAAGCACTGTGCTGCTATCCAGGTATTGCTAGAGCATGGCTTTGAGCAGTGGCCCCACTCCACCTTCTCACAGCTTTCCTGTCCCTGTGTGATGCCAGCATGACCTCATGCCCAATTTTTCAACTATGCAGAGATTGCTCACTTCAAGGAAAACCTTTGCTTCCCCCCTTGTTCAGCCAGACAATCTCCTGGCACACTGCTGTGGATCAAAGAGTCTTTGTGATGCCTCCACAGCTGCAGTGGAGGAGTTCCCTGAAAAATGGGGATGGGGCTTTGCAAATATCATGTTAAAGGCAAAACTGGACTTTTGATTTGCCTTTATCTGCCATAGGAGGTGTTTTCAGCAAGCACTGGGAAGGCAGTATTGCTCACCTGCTGATCCCCTTGTACACAGTCGCACAGGATCCTTCACACAGCTTCTCTAGATGTACATAGGATGTGGCAGCTCCAAATGGGATGCCTGGTCTCTGCTTCATGAAGAAATTGGTATGTGTTTTAGATTGCTGGGTCTACTAGCAGGTCATTCAGTAATTAAGTACTGATTAATGGCTGGAATAACCATTGGATAAAATATCTCCTTTCTGGCTCTCTGGATGCTGCACCTCACCCATTTGAACCCCTCCACAACATCTTGCTCCTGGAAAGAACCAGTGTAACTCCAAGGTCCCTGTGTGCTGTACCTCCAGCTCTGGAGGCTGTGGAGCTGCAGAGGCTGCAGAGGAGGTAGAGAAAGGGATGCTCTGGTTACATCTAACAGCTGGCATAGGAAAAGGGGACAAACTGTGTCACTGGCAAACTCCATTCTACTGATGAGTTTCTTTTCTTTCTCCTTGACTGCAGTGGCTTTGAGCAATGCACATCATTTTCATCTCTCTCTCTTCCAGTCATAGATCTCCAGTACTGGCTGTGAGGGGAGCAACTGTCAGTGTGTTCCTGTGTTGGTGAGTGGTAGCACTCACTCAGAACACACAAAGATAAAGCTGCCTTAACTGCAGAGGGTACTTCTGCCAGCATCATGCTAAAGGCATGTTATTCCCCCTCAATCTGAATTAATTAATCTCTAAATAACCTGTTAGGGCAGGGACCAAAACTCAAATGCAGGAGTGAAATTTCAGGAAGTTTACATTTATGTATTCTCCTCCCCCTTAATCCCTTACCCTTCACCTCCTTCCTCACCACTGTATAATTTACACAGCCTGTCAATTTGGCCCATACAGCATAACACTGCTGTACACTGCTCAGCTATAGAAAAAGGTAGCAGTGAATGGCAAGCAGGCTTCAAGCCCTCCCAAGCAGCTCTGTTGAATGGGTTATAATTTGTCAACACAGGATTTGCAATCTGTGGCATGCTGCCTCCTCCAGAACTGTAGGTTGTTGGCTGCCTCCCTGTTTTGCAATCTCTCACTGGCATAGAACTTGCTGGAGTGCAATCTCCTCTCCCCGCTCATCTCATCAAAGACACTTATTGTCATCTAAGGTAGATTCCTCTTTCAGTGCTTCACAAGCCTGAAGCTGCAAAGTTTGATGCTGTCTGGTTAGAAGCAAATATGACAGCTTTGCACTCCCACAAGTGGAAGCATCCAGGCTTCCCCTATCTCAATGCAGAAGCATCACAATATGACATTAAATACCTCTGCTGTAGTCACTGCTTCCATGTGCTGGAGGCCTTGGACTTGTTGGGAGCTCCTTCTCTCTGAACAGCAGCTGCTGCATCCTGGTCTAACAGCACTTACACACAGCATGTCTCCCATGTTGTCCTGTTTAAATTAAACTGTATCTCTTTTTTTCTCCTTGCTTCTCCTCATCTCTCTGTGTCTGTAAATAACAGCTCATATGACTCGCATGAGGTCTGTGCCTCAAAGGGTCTTGTGATTTCTGAAAGTCCAAATGCACCTCTGGAGTAGTTCCATTGATTTCAGTTCCTTTGGTACATGCCCTCCACAAACAGCCAACATTTTTCATATCTGAAGATGGAGAATTAATAAATCCAAACTTTCTGCTTGTACACACTTATTTCAGTTAAGCAGCTCTCAGTGTAGTGAGTTGGATAATGAAGGGCTAGGTTTCACACAGGAGCAGACCTTGCCTTCCCTCCCTGCCTGTAGCAGTTCTAGGCTTCAGACTTCAGCCTCTGGGCTCTCGGGTGAGCTTTCTGAGCACTGTGGCTGAGCTGTGCTTTCTGCAGGAGCTGTACATTGACTGCCCTTGCTTTGGCATTTCCATCAGCGTGGGGACCTGTCTGTCCCTGCTGGATTACGTGTCCAAGGGGTGCAATGAGTTGTAGCTGATGGTCTCGTCCATATGTCAGAATAACCAAAGCGATAATTCTGTCCACTGTAGAGCAGGGAATGCACAGGGGATTTACCCTGGATGTGGATGGCCAAAAATCCCCTTCTTATAGTCCTGCATGAGCAGGACTCACTGTGCAGCTTCCTAGGACTAACACCCAACCCACACAGGGAAAATGACAAGGGCTGAGGGAGCAGACAATGTCCTGTGGTATTTTTATGCTGACCCATTAGGTCCTTCAGTTTTCATTTGAATGTATCACATGTAATCTTCACTTTGCTTCACTGTTTAGATGTCCAAGAATAACGCTGTTTCCATAAGCATAATTATTTATTTAAAGCAAAAATGTCTTGGGAAGGCAGGAATGATTTCTTGTTGCAACCCAACCACCCGGCCTCTGCATGTCAGGGAGTAGAGGGGAAATGTCATAAAGAGAAGTAATCCAACTTTTGCCCGGTAGCCAGAGATGATAAATGAAGAAAGCATGCTTATAGCTGCTGATTGTTGTAACTGAAAAAAAAAAAATTAATATATATATACGTATAGCATGTGTGTATATACACACATAGGTGTATATACATATTGCATATATACAGATATTGCTCTATTTATGTGTACATATTTAAATGTATTCTGTGCAATCTATGCCTGTGGAAAAGCACACCGAGGCGTGTGCGCATGGCTCGCACAAACACATGCACACACACGTGGCAGCACAGCTATTCACACCAGGCCACTCCACCTTGGGCCTGGGGCAGCTGTGGCGCAGACTTCCTCCCCGCTAAAGCAGCGGTATCGGGCGGGTTTGCGGAGCCGGGAGGGCCTGGCGGGCGCTGTCGCTGTCACCGATCCCGCCTGGGCCGGCCCCGGGTCTTTTATTTGCGCCTCGAATATTTCCCGATGTATACCCACGTGTCGCTCCGGTCTCTGCCTGTTTTGTCCCGGGCAGGGACCCGTCGGCCTTCGCGCGGAGCTGGCTCCGCCCCCTGCGCGTCGCGCGCCCCCGCGTGAGTCAGCCGGGCGGCGCGAGGGGCTACGGGCAGCGCGCGGCTGCGGGCGGCGCAGCGGCAACAGGTGCGGGGCTGCGCGCGGGGCCGCGCCTGAGGGGGGGAGCCGCGCCTGAGGGGGGGGAGCCGCGCCTGAGGGCGGCCGCGCTCCCCGCGCCTGCCGCACCTGCGCTGCGGGACGGGAGCGCCCAGCGGCACCGGAGACACACGGGACAGGCCCTGCGCTGCCCCCGGCTGAGCTCTGGGACTTGGGGAGAGGCCGAAGAGCAGCTCTGACCGACCCTGGGTGTCCAACTCCACCCGCGCTGTGATGGGCTGGTACAGCACAGATATCGAGGTGTATTTCTGTCGGGTCTGAAAGGTCCCCTCCCTCATGGTGGAAAGAGACCCCGAACTGTAACTGACATGCCCTTCATCTCCTCCCACTTGCGTTTAAAGGCCCTGTTCCTATGCGTGCCTTGCTTGCTCGGGGTTAGTGCAGTTCGGCTTTTGGAATGTATTGAGTGATGGTGCTGCTGCGGCTGCAGCATCCTGTACAGGTGACGTGGTGTCCTGGTGTCCTGTCACTGTCACAGGCCTCCTCTTCCAGAACGAAAATAGGGAGCAACCGGAGTGCTCGTAGATGATTTGTGGTTAATCACTGCTGTTGTAGGGCAGCAGCTTATGTAAACTAGCTGTACTTACCACTTTCAGTTTCTGCAGAGTGAACTGTCTTCAGACGGGGAACCACATGAGAATGTGCAAAATTTAGGTATAATTAAAAAAAAAAAAAAGAGGCAGAAGGAGATTCAGAATTTTTTTGTCTCTTACAAGTGTGGTAAATTTTAAGTTTTTAATTGCATGCTGTAGCAGATAATTTTCACCTGTGTTAGTTTTTTCCCCCTGGCTTCTTTATTGCTTTATTTTGCTATCATCCTGCATTTGCTGGAGCTGGCGTTAAAAGCTGTGCACCCTTGCCCTCATCCAAAGGGATCTCTGCTATCTCTCAGTAGCCAGTTGTTTTGTTTTGTTCTGAGCAGATCTTACTCACACAATGTTAAAAGCAGTGGTTAATGCTGACCAAAACACAAGGGCTTCTTTAACTAGTCACACGTTGTATGTAAGCCACAGTTACCAATAGTAAATGATGTTGACAACTCTGTTTTGAATGAGGAAGCTTGGAGATCACCTCTTCAGATCCTGAGTAGGTAATTCTGTATGACAAACGTGAAGTCTTGGTCCTGCAAGTTATTGCTAAATGTGATGCAACAAATGTATTTAAAATGTGTTTGGAAATACGTAAGTAAACATGTGTGAAAGCTGTAGAAATATTTGCAGTGTTTATTGACATGAGGCTCATGGGAGTTCCAGTGTTGCTCTAAGTCAGGGGCATACCATACCTGCTGCTGCTGTTCAGCAGTGAATGTGAGGTTACCGTCATGTCTGTGGTGCTTGCTTAAAACTGGTCAGTGAAGAGCACAGTCCATGATAGTGAGAGAAGTGTTTGCTCCACATCATTCCCAACCGTGCAGTTGTTACGGTGTGGTAGCGTTGGATTTCTGGAGAATTAGCCTTTAACTTTGGAAGTGGAGAGTATGACATCAGTGTCATGCCAGTGACCATCTGTCTGTAGCACAAATCCATTTCATAATTGGCACTCCTTGCTGCTTTCCACTTGCAGCGTTGGAAGCAAAATGTAACAGTGAAAGTCTGGGCAGAGCAGTGGAGGTGCTGGTGTCACACTGAGCTTCCATGCACGGGTGTTGTTTTGTGCCTGGGCGTTCACCTGCGTGACTGCTACAGCTAATAACAATTCAGGTAAACTTCGTGGAAAGGAAACAATGTATAAATGATGTGAGGGTACGCAAGGAAAACATGTTTCTGTTGGGAGGAAGAAACCTTCTATTACAATTACTTTACTTAGTTTGTAGCTGTGGCAAAGCAACTTGTATTTTGCATTAGCTGTGAAATGGGAGTAATGTTGTGCTGTCCTAGGAGTGAATAAGAACTTGAACTGAACTTGAAAGTGATTTCAAAATGTCTTAAATATGTCTCATCTGTGGAAAGAAGACAGTTTGACTCTTGTTTTCCCTTATATGCAGAAATGTTTGGTAATGCAACCTGAAGTGTGAACTTCTGTAAAGAAAAGAATATCTATCATGCTCTTAGTTTCTAATTTGCCACTGTTGCAGCTTTCTTACTTAAGAATTATGTAAATAGTTTTTCAATTTGGCTTTGAAGGCAGATCTTGCAAAACAGCTAATCAAATGCCTGTCTTTATTTTGTTACAATCAGAAGGTTTCATGATAAGTACAATAATTTTTTTTTGCAGTTGAGGCTCATGAAAATGAAAAAAATTCTTTGAGTCCTTAAAAAAGTCCATAAATTCTAGAAGTCAAGAATTTTAGTTCCTTAACCTCAAATAACTATATGCAATGTAAATGGTATATTTGTTGATACTTCAATTACTCTATCAGATGTATTCATCTCTTTGATTCAGTGACCCACTGAGTCATTTTATTTGAAGCTAGAGTCCTTCACAAAGGAGGGGTGCTGGCATTTTCAAGAGAATGAATTGTAGGGTTAGGTGGTTTTGAGTAGGCTAAAGAAAACCCTAAATTTACTTGCTCTGAGCAAGAACACATTATGGTTCCACAATGCACTTCCATTTTCCTTTGATGTTTCATCAACACCTCTGCTGCTGAAGCATCACATGACAGTTCCTTTGTATTTGTGAGACTCCTTTGTTAATATTTTAGAAGTTAACTTTTACAGTTGTAAGTGGTTTTTTCCTTTTGTAGTTGAGGAAGGAGAGGCTGTCTTGAAAGCAGAACCTTTGTGGTGACTGGTGTGTCTGTGTTCCTAGAAAGTATGCTTTGGTTTTGGGGGTTTTTGGGTTTTTTTAGAGCAGGGTGTATATGACTTACCACAATACCAAATGTTATCAAATGTTTATTTCTTTGAGATCTGTTCCTTGCCAACTCTGAAGCCCAAATCACTCTTTTTAGGGTCCTATATCTGAAGGACTGGAATTGTTTGTATGCTGTGTTGTTTCTATATGTGAAGGTCTCCTTGGTAATTCATTATTCCCAGAACTCCAGTGAAAGTGTTGGAGGTTTTGTTAATTATTGTAATTATTTATCAACTTGATGATTACTGTTTCCAAGTGTGCTCTGAAACTTCTGTATGAGAGTTACAGGTCTGAATATATTTGGTCTCTTGTATTCATGACTGGCCATATATATTTCTGCATACAAAATCTTAAGATTACTTATTCTGGGTCATAATTTTTATACTAACTTATTTGTTTTCTGTTTTGTTACAGTGGATATCAGACAGCAACTATAATAAAGCAACAGCTCTAAAGCATTTATATGTGAAACTTTGAATAAATGTGATTCTACACATGCATTATTGTAACTAAAATTTGTAATACTTCATATAGTAAGGAGTAGATCAAGAGAAAT